TTTTTGACGGGGAATTCAGTAGCGTCACAGTTAAAACACATATTTAGGAGTCAACTTGGCAAGTGGTTGCGTTTCGAATGACTTTTATAAATAAACTAAAAAATATATTGTATAAAAGAAGGTTTGTCCCGATTCACCTGGAAGTCCCTATACACCTCGTTTTACGGTACTTAATTTGTTTCTGATTTTGTCTCGGTAAAGCTGGGTACCCTGATACTTTTTCTATAACCCTTTCTGAATACTAGTATTCTGATGAATACGAAATAAAATTCATATTGTGGTTAATTTTTACTAAAAAAAAATATTTAGGTGCTGTACATAACACGTTCTTCTGGGCAACTTAAATAATATAAACATTTTAATTACAATATTTTATTTAAAAAAGACTATACCTAGTACAATGAAACGTACATCTTTTTTAATATAAAAAAATATTTCGAAAAAACATCTAATGAAAAAGTAATTATTATTTAGTTATGTACCTATTTAAATCTATTTGGTCCTTCTTCTCATCTTTGTCGGTCGGGGGCTGTTGTTGGCTTTGTTCGTATCGGGACGACAAATCTTCATAAAACCAGCGATATTCTTCGTCAATATATGGTAGCTATATGGTAGCTTGGTAGCTGAATACAAAGGTTGTCAATTTTTTTGTCAGATATGTTCCCCACTTTTGTTCCCGCCACCACCCATTTAAGTTCTAGGTTGGGATTGGTCTGCGATTTGGTGTTTTTTAAACACTTTTTTGAAAGGTGTATAGGCATCATACGTTTCCTTAGAAAGGTAAGATCCAAACTCTTCAACACGTATCCATTTAATAGATCTAAATGGCGCGGTTTCATTTAGCTCATTTTTCTTTTTCTGCATAAGTCCTAGTTGACTAGATAATGTTTCTAAATTTTTAAAGCTATATTGCATGTCGTTTTCTTGGGCATTTTTCTTGAGGGCCGATTTTATAAGGTCACGGTATTGCTGCGGTATTTCATGGCGTCTCAAATTTTTTTCTATTCTCCCGAAATCTCTATCCGAGTCTAGATAAGAGTGGCCAACCTCAGGAAACTTATGGTCTATACTCTTGAAGAAGCCTTTTAATATTATTGACTGGTACATCAAATCATATTGAAATTTTTATTCTGTCCAGCATATGAGTCTTATCAGATAATTACATTTTGTTTATTTCGAACTTCTTGACAAGTTTTTACGAACTTGTATAAGCAAATGGCAACTTCGGAACTACCTCTTCCAGCAATGCTCTCAGTTCAGGTTTGCATAAATGACTTTTCACCTTCTATTGTAATCAGATGGATACCAAAATTATAAAACCAGAGTTGCCTCAGATAAAATGCTTGTGAAGTTGTTAATTTGGGCAAAGGCATGGTTTGCTGTAGGTCGATAGGGCATTCTCTTTATGTTCCTCGTTTGTGTGGTCTACTTAAATGACGTCCCGTCATATCTTGTGATGGAGCTGATTCTCCACTTTACCTCTACCTATTTGGTGCAGTAAACAAAACGCTGGTTTGCAAACAACCACTGATGCAACTCGTATACTTCTAAATAGCAAAGCATTTTTTGCATTTACCTCTAATTTATAAAACTCGTCCAGAACTCGTTTTTTTATCTTGTAAGGTGAATTTTTTATTGCACTTTAGCCTGCAGGTTTCGTCACAGAGATCAATAGAAACAACATTTTTCGCTACTATTTTTTTTTATTATAAGATATATAAGCTTCACCTTTTTCTCTAACTAATGCTTGTTTTCTTTTTTCCATTAATTCCATTTCATATTTTACTCTCCTCTTGCTAACATTTTCCCTTACAGGAAATATCTTTTTTTGCACGATACTTTTGACAATATTATCAGGAACTACATTTTCACGATCATTATTTAATATAATAACAGTTCTGTGACAAGAAATATCTTTACAAAATTTGGTTGTTCTGTATTAAGTCATTGCTGAAAAACAGAGTTTTTTTCGATCTTTTTAAGACATTTTCTGAGGCAAATATCTCCGCAACCGTAAGTATGAGAAAAAAAAATACATATGAAAAATCATCTCGTTTTGGTGTACTCTACACGCACCTGTTCTATGTCCATTGAGTTGTGAATCGCCCTGTTTAATAACTTTGTTTAGTATTAGTACCAAAATTTGTAATAATTTCTTGTTTGTCTTACTCAGTTCAATTGTTAGACAAAAACATGTTTTCTATTCTTTAACTTATCTATTTACCATTAATTCGGTAATGTGAACAAATGATAATGGGCGTGTCCAATAAAATAAAAGTCTTGAAAGTGGTGGCCGGTGAAGTGGGAGAAAACAGCAGCAATTTCATCATCGTGATAGGATTAACAGTCCCGATATTTCGAAGTTTTGAACGAAATCCTATAAAAATATTTTTTTAATTTATAAATAAAATTTAGGTAAAAAAGGCAAGTGTAATACACTTACCCTTAGAAAACCTTGTTAACAGTTTATATTTTATCTTTTATCAAATACAGTTTCTTGTTTTAAGGACTAGTGTTCTATTTTATTTCCAGTAGGTCCCTAAAAATCAGCTCCTTCCTTGATTTGAATTTAAAAGTACCTTTATTATAATTAAAATTCGTGAATTCGATAAAACTAATAAGGAAAGAATATACTTGTTCACACCACCACCTGCATATTAATTTGGTATTTATAAAATGAAATAAAAATAAAGAAAATATTTATATATTGAAATATAATTTCAATGTGTATGTGTGTGTTGATTTAAATTTTTATTTTTAATTAAGCTGTAAATTGTTCCATACAAACCTCTACTATCTTTCATGTCTTACCTTGTACTTTCTTATCCCTGGTCAGCTGTTGGTAGACACTTGTTACATATCAGACAATATCAGAAAACCTCATGGCCTCTATTCTTGAATTATAGGGGGTAGAAGAAACGAGAAAAAGGGGGCGTGTCTCTACGAAAACTCATTAATTGGTATTCTTGAATGGTGTTCTATTGAGTAATGATAGAACAATTGTTCCATATTCCTTCTACTGATAATTTCGGGGGAACAGGCAGGGATCATTAAATTTTGACACCATATTTTTTGACATATTTCACAAATTACGAATTCCGCAATCTGTCTGATATCTTTAGTTACTGTTTTGTGGTGATATCCTTCGAGAACTCTGAGGAAACGTCCGTAGAATTTGTGTTTATTTGAAGAATTGTACACGGATAAAATAATAATAGAATAAAATGGATCTATCTAATATAATATTGTGGGATGAAATAATGAACAATGTTGATGAAGGCGAGAAACTTTTGAATATTCAACGAGAAGTTCTACCTAAGACAGATCCATTTATGCTATCGGATCAAAAATTTGTTAAATTATTTCGGCTCTCTAAGCCTCTTTGCCGGGACCTTATAGAACTTGTCCGACCCCACACCCAGGGGCCTACAAGAACATCAGCACTAACTGTGGAGACAAAGGTAAATAATTATCTTTTAACTTTTAATTGTGGAACGTCTATAAACCAATAGGTAAGCTTTACAATATTTTTAGGTGTTACCTGCTTTAAAGTTTTTTGAATTTGGGAGCTACCAGGAAATAACAGGAACAAATCATTATATTGGCATAAGTCGACCTTCTATGAGCAGATGTATGAGAGAAATGTGTGATGCTATAAATCGACCTGAAATTTTGAATAACTGGATTCGATTTCCAAGATATAGGGTAAAGTGGGGAGAGTTGAACCACATTTTGAAATAACATCTGTAGAGCTGGTAATGTTTGGTCAAAATTAATGAAAATTTAAGGAGACATACTTTGGTCAATTGTCTTTCTGATGTGCCATTCAAAGTTTAAATAAATTCAAATAATAGTCTATAATATTGATTTTTTTTAAATTTTGTTATCTGGTCCATCTATCCTAGGGGTAGGTAGAGATGGACCTCTATAGATTGTAGAGATGGACCGCTCCTAATTTGATAGTTATTGATAGGAATAGTATCAAAGAAAACTACAAAATTATGAAAATATACCTTTAATAAAAAAATATATTGGTTTTATTAAAATTTTAATAGAAAAAATCAAAATAACAACCTTCATAATCACAAGTCACAAAGCGCGTAAGTATTAAACACAAGATACCTAAGCAAAATAATATAACTCACAAAAATAATAAAAGCTTCCAAATAGGTACAAAAACTCATTACAAAATATGTATTAACTAGTATAAAACTAAAAACTAATATTAATTATTTAGGTAAAATCACAAAATGAAGAGATCATGAAACAATTTAAAAAATGTGCTGTAAACCAATTACAGCTTCTTAAACTCTTTGTACTTCTTTTCAGCATTTGATAGATCATGTCGATTTAGTAAAAATGGATAGGTATTGACATGGAGTGGCCCATAAAAAATAAAGCTTCGATCTACCGTTACAATGTCATCAACTTTTGGCCAAAACCATCTTTCCAAATCAGGCTTTAGGAACTTCATAATAACCTTATTATCTTCCAAACCCACAATACGGCCGACGTAGTAGCGATCATCGTAATAAACACAGTAGTACTTTTCCATTTCAATTTTAACCAAACTTGAATCCAAATTTTCATCGTCGTCAGAGAATTCCTCACACTCAAATTCGCTGTCAAGTGGTACATCACTACTATCATCACTTTCTTCTGACTCAGACCAGTTTTTAGTATTATTTTTCTTGGATATTTTCTTATTGTGCTTCTTTTCCGAGTTCTTTTCTATTTGTCTTTTATTTTTCTTTTGTTCTTTTAATGTCTTTTCAGCCTTTCTTGTTTTTAATTTCTCAATATTTCCACTGGCCGTCAAAATTGTTGCAATATTTTTCGCCTTTTTTCGTACTTCTTGCAAGCTTTGTAAATTAGGAATTGGTGAAATTTCGTCAAGGAGAGTTCCAGGGGTCTTTTTCGAACTTCTTTTGGCTTTATCCGGGGAGGGCGTACAGAAAGTCTTCATGGCGCAGACTGGAGCAGTTTCATCATCTGAACTATTAGATTCTGGAGGCAATATAGTTCGAGTACACATTTTTTTTTGGTGTGGTGTTCTTGTTTACCAACGAATAATTTTCTTCGATATTCCTTTTTTTGGGATCTTTCCTTTTTGACTTCAAATGTAAACCACTAGTGCTTGGTAAATTTATATTTTCAATCTCTTCTTCAACCAATTCGATCTGACTGTTTGGAGAATTACGAGAAGAATTACTTGGAGAATTAATTGGAGAGTTATTAGTGTCATCAGTTCTTTCAACATCGCTTAGGAACGCATAATCAGGAATCTCGCCTGGATTGAATGGCATAATACCAGTTGCTTTAAATCCCGAAGCAGCATTTTGCACTGTTGCTGCTCTTGCCCAGGAAGAACCTAATAAAGCCCCGAAGTTTAATCTTGTAATTCGTCTACCAGGATTGCTTCTCATATAAGAATTGCAGTCTGCATAATAAAATGTTTTTAATGATTTAAAAAACGACCCGTCCAAAGGCTGTAAATAATGTGTAGTATGACTTGGAAGGCTTAATAGAATAATATCATTCTGTTCACAAAATTCTAACGTTTCTACTGATGCTGTGTGTGACGTGTGCCCATCCAACACTAATAAAACTTTGCCATGAGGTTTTCTGGGGAAATGATCTTTAATCCAATTCTGGAAAATTTGCAAATTTACATAAGCCGACTTTTGGGACATCACAACTTCTGATGCTGGGGGCATCCTATCTGCAAATTCATCTTTCTTATTTTCCCCCTTAAAAATGCAATAAGGTGGAAGGAAGCTCCCTTCTGCATTGCAACAGGCAATTACTGAGATAGTCTCGCCCTTTTCCCCTGATGTTACAACAGATACACTTTTTGATCCACGCTGTGCCAAAACATGACCAGGTTTATTGTTAAGCTGTAAGCCCGTTTCATCTACATTAAAAACGCGCCCCGGTTTGTCAAACAGATCATTACTTCTCATTAAATTTTCAAGTAGCTCAAAATAATTTTTAACTACAGTTTTTGATAGTCCAAGGGTTCTGGCAGTTGACACACCCTCAGCCTTTCTTACTCTAATTTCAGGATTTCGTCTCAAATATGATCTGAGCCAATCCATTCCTGCTAATCTAGTCCCTTTATTAAACTTATGCGGAATCTTCAATTTTTCAGCCAATTCGAAGGCATTTGCACGAACTTCAGTCCTTGTTGGACAAAAGCCATTTCTTTGTAGTTTAATAATGTGTCGGGCCAACTTTGTTTCTGCCTCACTGCCTAAGGATGAAGATGGTCCTAAACGATTTTCAACTGTAAAACTTTTACGTTTTAGACGCCGTTTTAAGGTTGTTTTAGGAATGCCAAACTGCTTCGCCGCTGCATTTACCCCAGTGCCTTCGCCAATGTCGTGAACTGCATTTCTTAGATCAGCTTCGGACCAAACGCCTCTTGGTTTACTATTTGGTTTTCTTTTGTATACTGACGGACTCATTATTTGTGCCTAAAACAAACAAAAAATCGATAAACCTACCTATCATGCCCATCTATGTCCAGGTCCATCTATACCCACTAGTCCATCTCTACCTACATTTTTGTGGTCCATCTATACCTTACGGTTAGGTAGAGACGCACCAGTCATTTGCAAGAAAAAAAATAAGCACCGCTACAAATAAGTGAGGTTATAATCTTCATTTAAGTTAATTTTGTTAATATAACTCCAAAAAAAGTCTGAAAACAGTTACCTGTGGCTGTATTGGCACGATTTTTATAACTTCCGAAAAAAAATTGTGTTGTCTTGAAACGAATTTTCAGTTTTTTTAGCTAAATATGCAATGGACGTCGCGCACGCGTTTCTCTGGCAAGCTCTGGTAGGAAACTGAACCGTGTAACGAAATTGCGCATTTATAGGGCACGCCGTTTTTGCAATATGGCGGATGGTCCGTCTATACCACTGGTCCATCTCTCCCCACTTTACCCTATTGGAGAAATGCAAGATTTGCGTTCTACGTACATACTGTTATGTTATGAATAAATAAGAGATGTATTTCAATAATTTAGATATCAAAATTTATAATTGTTCGAAATTTTCTAACGAAACGACACAGCTGTCAAAATTAGAACATAAGTTCTGGCATGAGGACATTTAATCGATATTGTAAACCTTGGCAGAACTGTGGCCGCATAAAAAGGTATTTCAGATATATGTTCGAAACATGCCATAAAACTAGTAAATAAATGAAATGTAGAGTACCTGAATGTAGAATTTATATGTGGAATCAAACTTATACCTTGTTGAAATCATTTATGTAACATATTATCATGGACAGGTATAGTTCCGTCACAATTTTGAAAATTTCGTTGTATAAAAATGTTTCTGGACTACAAAATCATATGTATAGTGTGTAAGAGACCCTTGTCATTCCATTTAATATGTGTAATATCCAATCAAAGGTCAATTTGTTGTTTAGACTGCATAAATGTTCCTCGGAACGGTGTGTAGAAAACTTTTGCTCGTTTGTATCTAAAAAAAATGCATAAGGAGTGTTGTATAGACAGTGTTAAAGACATAGAAAAGACAGACATGCTAAAATTTAGTCCATGCACTGAAATAATAGTGAATTTTGGTAAAACGTGCAATATTTCAATATGACATACAACTTAACATAGAAAGGTGTATGTAGTGCCAAAAGACTCAGGAAAATGCATAAAATCTAAATATGAACAGTTCATGTATCCCAAATTTAGTTAAAAGCTGGAATATGTAAAAATAAAATTCCAAAATTACAATTTATTCGTTGTCATAGAAACATTCAATTGTCTTGGACTTCCTATTTAACCACTGTTCGGGATTTAGGAGGCCAGATTGTCATTTTCATCTAACGGTGTCACATCGAAAGTTTTGCTCCTGAAAAACAAATGAAAATTGTTTATTTCAACAAAATCAAAAAATTATTCATGTACTTACGTAGTCAGCTAGTAGAAGAAACGTCAAAGTAGACTAAACTGTCAGAAAACCGAATGTGACATTTATTGAAATTACATTTGACCGAAAGCATCGAAGTTAAACACAACAGATACTCGAAGCATCAACAACAAATTGATTTTGAATATAGTTGGAAAACGTTTAATGTAAAATAGTGTAACAAGTGATAATAAAACCAAGTGCAGTGTGTGTTCCCTGGGAAAGGTTGTGCCGTTAAGAGAGGATTTCGGCAGCTTCTGCGAGGAGTACGAACAACGAGGGAACCAGGCAACATTCCATGGAATGAAGCACGACTACTTCAAGTGAGGGATATAATTTTATGTAAGTGTCGACACATAAAGCAAATTTGCACTCGTTTAAACAGAAGCGCTATATAAATTTCGGATATAAAATTGTTTCCATTTGACAAACGTCAAATAAAAAAAGATAGATGCATGCATCATCGTAGAATAAAATTTATATAAGGGGGGATTTACCATTGTGTACTTAGCATTAGAAATTACAACAGTAACTGTCACATGTAAAATAATAATCTGCTAAATTTATAAATAGATGAAAATTTATGATACATCCTTTATTTAGTTAACAAAAAAATCCTTTAGTAAGCATAATTCATATTCAAATATCAAGGCGCTCAACTAAATGTAAACATAATAATTAAACATCAGTCAAAAATATAATCAATATAACAACAGGAACCCACACCCACAAAAATAATTAATAAATAATAAATATAATAATACACAGTTATGTTATATACCTACACACATTATTTTATACGTATTTTTAGTTTCCTTGAAAAATATCAGTTTCCTGGAATTATTGGTTGCATCGACTGCACCCATGTGACTATAATTGCTCCGCCAATCCTCAATTTCAAGAGCATGTATATATTAACAGGAAGAATTACCACTCAATTAATGTACAGCTTGTAAGTCGTTTTTATATAAATCATTTGATCAATTATAAATTGTTTTTTTTAGATCTGTGATGGTAATTTGAAAATCATGAATGTAAATGCGCGATTTCCAGGCAGTACACATGATGCAAATATATGGCGACACTCTCAAGTATCGGTGATAATGGAAAGGATATACCGGCAAGACCCTAGGAATACTTTTTTTCTAATTTGGGATTCAGGTATGTCAAAGATCTCAAATTGACACTATTTTGATGAGCTTTTAATCACTAGGTATGTAAATACTATATTTTCCTTTTAAGACTGAGAATTTGTTATTTGCAGTTTATTAAAAATGAGTTATATAAGTATTTATTTCAGGATATACAACACGTCCTTGGCTTTTAACTCCTATTCCAAATCCACTTCCAGGTGCACAAGAACATTTCAATACAGCATTTTGTAGAATTCGGCCCACGACTGAACGCTGTAATGGTGTTCTTAAAAATAGATTCAGATGCCTATTAAAACATAGGGTTTTGCACTATTCCCCAACTATGGCAAGAAAAATCATAAATAGTTGTGTGGTATTGCATACTATGTGTGTGTCTAATAATATGCCCCAACCGGACTTTGAAGATATGGAAAATATAGATTATAGAATATATGAAGTAGAAAATCCTGCAGCAGGAAGTATAGGAAGAATTAATCCTGACCTGGCAGCTGGCAGACAGCTTCAACAAAATATAATTAATATTCACTTCTTATAAAAAAATGATTAAACAAAGTTGTTTTTTATTTCCATATTATTTATTATGAAACTCAAAAATAAAGTATAAACTCTAAACATTAAATAAATTATACTTTTTTATAACACATATAAACAAGAGGCACCATACAGTTTAATTGCTGGTTTTGTAGGTTGCCTCACTTATCCTATTTGCAATTTCTTCCAGAACAGATATTTTTTTGCAATAGGCCTCTTTCATTTTAAAATTCCTTTCCATGTTTTCTATTTATTTTTCCCTAAACGCTTTTTTTTGACACTACATTTTCCTCCATTATTTTTAAAAATCTTTCATTGCTTCTTAGAGATTCTTGTAGTCTGGTTGTTTTGGTCATTCTTAATTTCTTATGTGGTATAGACCTTTCCACTCTTTTTTTAGGTGCCAGATTCTCTTCCTGTGGTTCCACTAAGCAATAATCGTGAATATCATCAACTAAGTTTACTTCAAATTGTTCAGTGTTGTGTTGAATAGGAGTTTCTTGCGTATTTTCCTGAAATGAAAAATTAGATTCATTACATATTACATAGCTCTTATATAACAAAAATTTTTCTGCATTACACAATTATCAATGATCTCTAATTCCACATCTTGCTCCGCTTCTGTTTCTATTCTATTTGTTTCAGTATCAAATTCAAATTTTACTTCAGATTCATTCACGTCGTTGTTGCCACCAATAGCTACAGGAGTAATAATTTTAAGTAACTTATCATCTATGTCGGATATTTTTGTGGGAGGTAATGGACTCTCTCCTCCAGTTCCCATGGAGTATTTCTTTTGGTCTGAAAATCTCGCCTTTTTTTTTAATCCACCCAGGTCTGGAAAGTCAAATTATTATGAAAATTTTAAAATTGTTATGGAAGAAGATGACGGATAATCAGTTTGAACTTGTAGACATAATATGCACATTATTATATAGCATTTTTCCTTAAATTCCTTAAATATTGGGAAATATATTTCTAAAACTTTATAACTTTATAACTAGGTATTTAATTATTGTTTTTAATGATGCGTGAACACAGTGTTCTAAAATGTATTAAAACGAGTTTAAAAGTTAAAAAATCTTCTAAATTCGACAGCACAAAATTCTAACTTTGTCAGGGCAATAAAAAATATAGGAAAATTTTTATTAAGATTTGACAGTTTTATGCCATAGTAAATAAATAAGCACCTGTTTTTACCTTTCGCCATTGCTTCCATGTTTTCGAGGGTGCTACCGTGATACTTAAAAAAAGGAAGAAGGGGGGAGGAAGGTGGAAGCGGTGAAATCTCTGGGCAACAGTGCACGGCAGCAAGATCTCGTCCCTGTACAAACGTTACCCGACTAAGATTACTGTACAGGGTAGCTTAGATCTCGATTCTCATGGCGTTTAAGGCGATAGTCTGCCAAATGCCCAGAAAAAGGTGTGACTACTACTACTATTACTGAATATACGAGCTGAGACCAGAAAAGTTAGTACGGACGAAAATAGTACCTTCCGTACAATAAATCACGTGTAATCTAGTCCAAAATACTATATTACTGCATTAATAAAAATATAGCAAAGTACAGCAATTCAATGCCTACACGTTGAAATATGTAATGTTCCTGCTTGTGGACGGTTTTCTTATCTTACTGCATTTAACAAGACAGGTTACAGAACGCTATAAGTAAATTAGGACACGATCAAGGTGACTGGCTAACGCTAAGGCACAAGGCCTGCCAGTAGAATGTACAGTCCGAGCGTAAAGAAAATTACAAGCTATAAACACTTTTATCCCTATTGTAGCTACAACATGGTTTACATATAGGCAAGGTTATGTGACTGTCACCTCTTATTCAAATGCAGACAAACACATTACGCAGTTATAAAACACAGTGATACATACAGTAATAAAATACAGCAATATACAGGAGGTACGGTAGATCAAACGTTTAATTTGAATAAAAGGATATGCTTATCGTTTCGCTTGTACGTAGTGGGGCTCTCTCTCTCTGTGGAGACCTCTGTAAACGGCAGATGATGGTGGTACACGATGTCGAAGCAGGACGACCTTGGTGGGGAACGAAGAAACTCCAGATAGGTATGCTACGATGCCTGACGGAGACGTGAGGGAGAAGCACCTCAGCCAGACGAACCCACGGTGTCTCGTAGACGAATAGTTTCCCAAACGGAATTCTCCCGTAAAAAAAAAACCCTGTAGAGGACAGAATGTTTTAGCCTACTACAGTACGAGTAAATAAAAAAAATCGACATGCACACTTACGAACATAAGATGGCTATTAAAAGACAATTACCTTATTTCTAAGGGTTTCCTTCCTATAAATGACTTCACAGCAACGCGAGATGGGTCTTAATTTCCACACAAGGTTTCCACGAGGTAATTTCCAATGACATAACCACAAAACACGATGCTCAAAACTGTCTCTCACATCCAAACAAAACTCTCTGCAACATCTCAATATCACGGTAACGGTACTTCCAGATATTCCGAGAGTAATTTTACAGCCTGTGATATGAAATCTCACAATGGATGGTTAGAATAATCTCCAAAAAAAATACCACAGCCAAAAGAAGACAGTCGACGGTGTCAAAATCGTGCATGGGTCGATAATGTCGATATTGCAATCACCTTCCAGTCGAGCCGGTAACAAACTTGACAGAGCTACCAACTTGCGCGAAATAAAATTACTAAACCCACTGACATCACAGAGTACTCCAGGTTATATTAAATCGAAATCGTTGAAAGCAAAATAAGACCGTAACAAGGGGCCTTCCGGTACACTATTTAAAATATTTGCCAATTCTTCCCAGTTAGCCCTCATTTTCGCTCTAGTGTAGCTGGGTGTTAATTTTCCTGTATACATTTGTTTCTTGCCCTCGATATATTCAATAAGTAGTTCTTTTTATTTAGCACTTACTGGATCTAGCTTCTGTTTTCTATTAATTTCCATATCTTTTTTTTTACAGTGAACCTGACAATGACAGTAAATAAAGTAGCACCTATTTCATGACTAGCTCATCACTAGTTTTCATTCTTCCGAGTATTTATTGCTCTCTGATTGGTCGGTACATTTGACAACACTGTTCCTCGTTCTTCACTTTCGTGTCTCGCTCCCTTTGTGTCAAGAATACAGTATAAATTTTGTGATAGAACAGTAGTAGAGCGAAATGAGGGTATGTTCCCCAGGGAGCAGTCTATTCTTCCACGCACTGTCAAGAATCGAGCTCCAGGAGTCGGTTCTATATTTATACACAGAAACTAGTACAATGCAACACACTTTGGAACTTTATGTTTGAAAACTTACTAAATTGAAATGTAATATGTTCTCCACAACAAAGAATATTTTAATATCAAAATTTGCCCTTTTTTTCGGCACAGCTTACAAATAATATAAGGAATAATTATAAAAAAAAACTATTAACTAACTTTATTTCGTCCCCTTAAAGCCAAAATGTCGTATGTGAGATTTCAATAAAATAGAGTAATCGCTAAAGTTTTTTGTAGTTTGTTTTGGCATGTATATTAAAATATTAACAACATTTCGATATGGGGGTTCAAAAATATGTGTTTATAGTTTTTTAAATGTATTAAAAACACAACTTTTATCGTTTTATCAAACTGAAACTATTTATGATTAAAAGCTACATACGACCTTTTGCCTTTCATTATTTCGCAAATGACTGTACATAGATGAGATAGAAAATTTTATTAATTATAATTTGAAACATAAAAGAAAAAATGGTAAAAAAGTATTCTACAGAAGTTCAGTTTCTTCTTGATCGGGTTCTGGAATTCGATCTACTACGTTGGAACTACATGGAAGAGATGTATAAAAATTATGGTATATGGCTGGCATAGCATCTACTCTGCAAAGGTTCACAAGACTTTTCTTCTTTTTTTCGGATATTGGCAAAGATTTATTATATTTCTTTTTCAATTCTGGTTCCAAGGCAGTTCTATTAATTTTTGGCGCTACTATGGGCATTCCAGTAAAATTATTTTGGGAATGATCTTCTTTTACAAAAATAATCATTGGGCTAGTTTTTCTGAATTGAAGCATCTTAATGTTCATCCAGTTGATGATATTCCCGTCTTTATCTTCAGACATTTTTTGACTAGTTAAAGAAAATTTCAGTGCTTTTAGATCTAAAATATCATTATAAGAAAGCTCCTGAACAAGATACGGTTTCTTTCGGCGAGCTGTTCTGATTACAACAGGCCATTCATGTGGAGTATAAATTCTCAAACGTTTTTTCTAGTCTCTATGGCACTATGCATCGAGTCTACCTCCATATCAGTATGACCCGTTTCTAGAAAATTTTATTCGATAATTTCAATTGGCAGGTTTTTTACAGCATACAATAGCAGGGAGGCAATAAACCGGTTACGATTTTGACCACCACATATTTGACCACCAAATATTTTTCCTGTCCGATTTTTATATTCCTTCCCAAGATTCTTTCCCTTTTTTGCTACTGATATCTTCCATTGAAGAGAATCGCTTTCGTTTTNAGCTACAACATGGTTTACATATAGGCAAGGTTATGTGACTGTCACCTCTTATTCAAATGCAGACAAACACAGTGATACATACAGTAATAAAATACAGCAATATACAGGAGGTACGGTAGATCAAACGTTTAATTTGAATAAAAAGATATGCTTATCGTTTCGCTTGTACGTAGTGGGTCTCTCTCTCTCTGCGGAGACCTCTGTAAACGGCAGACGATGGTGGTACACGATGTCGAAGCAGGACAACCTTGGTGGGGAACGAAGAAACTCCAGGTAGGTATGCTACGATGCCTGACGGAGACGTGAGGGCGGAGAAGCACCTCAGCCAGACGAACCCACACACACAAATTGTATGAACAGAATTTCAATGCATAGTAAAAATGCGATACTTCCGAGCAAGGAGTATACAAAACCGACTGCAAATCAAATGTTACCGATTGTCTATTTCCGCTCGTTTCTTGTCGTCTTCTTTCTTCTTCCGGGACAATTCTTTATTTCTTAAGTGCCTGTCGTAGCTTTCCTTCATATCCTGCTTCTTATCATCATCACTTTGTTTATATTTTTCATATGTGGAGCAGCTATCTTTTTTTTAGCCTATGGAATCCCAGGTTATATTCTGTACAA